TTTTCTGGTTAAACTCCTTCTCTCAACAAGTTGGTCAATCTTAGCCTTTAGCAGAAAGACGCTTAACACTTTTTTCGGCGAATTTATGATCCTGTTTCACGTCATGATTCTTCTCTAAGCCTGTTCAGATAAATTCTAGAGCAAATTTTCATTACGTCGAAAGTTACAAAGGTAAACAAAGTCGAGCAATTGATGCTCCTGCTATTACATTATATACTGTCCGAATATGGGATCAAATTTTATTTTTTTTAATTTATTTGCCAGTCAAATTGCTCTTTAACGTAATCACCTTCCGATCAAAATATTGTTCGGTGTTACTTAAGTCACCCGATTTCTATGGAGATGCCGTTTGTCTTAAATAACAGCGCAGATTAACATCGGATCGGTGCGAATGTTACTCGCGATATAATGAAAATTTGCTGTTGAATTAGTATTTTTATTTATTTTCTCAACTGCGCTAAATCAAACGAGTAGAAATAAGAATGGATGTCGGTTAACAGGTTGAATAATCGAAAATTCGATAAATATTTAATCGAATAGCTGGAAAAATCTTCACGATCAATCGTTAATCGAATAATAGGACTTTTAGGCATCCCTAGAAAATAGTGAAATTTCATCTTTTTTGGTGGTCCTTCAAAAATTTCTCAATTCTCTCATTCTACAATTCTCTTCATCGATTTCCTCTTTTGATGATCATGGCTAACCTATTTCTGCTATACTCTTCTATCATCCAGAACAACAAACGTATCAATGAATGTGTTTGCCGTCGAGCTATTAACGAAACAGAAAGTCGATGAAGAAAATCGATCAAAATCACTTGCACCCCTGCTTCCAAGTTTGGTTACAAGATTACAACTCTGGAGAACATTTTGTGTGGTCGTTGGGGGCGTGTGGTTCTGAATATGAGAATGAGTGTTCAAAAAGTTATGCAACTGCATCCTTCCTATACACACACGCCCGAAGATTGGAGGCGAATGCCACTTCGACTTGTTTCGTCTACTTACAACTCTCTGATGAAAGTGTTGGGGAAGCAGCAATGCTACATCGACATGTTTCGTCTAGAAACGGTTCGCTGATGACTATGTTGGGGATGTACGTAATTGGTGGATTTGTTAGTTATTTCAATGCTTTTGGACAATGCTTGACATTTACCACTTTTTCAATAGTTTCTTGTTAAATCAACAATTGTCAATGTCAACTTTATCAATTTGTAGACATATTTCTGATCGATTGGTGATAAAATTATTGAAATTGGTCCAGGGGCAGCTGAGTTATTCACGTTCAAAATCTTTCATAATTTTGTTACATGTTCCATTTTTGATTTTTTCAAAGTGTACCCCCATATAGAAATCACAGACGTAGTCATACGTCAAAAAAATACAACAAATTTGGTACGCCTACAAACCAAAAACCGGAAAGAGTTGAGGTAATAGAATTAAAAGTGGAAGAGTCTGCATCCGCTGAATCATGTTATGGAAGGCGGCCATTTTTTGCTGGAACGAATGGTTGGTTGTTGGTTGGCTGGAATTTTGGTGGTTGTTGGTTTCCTGCAAATTTCGTATTCAAACGAAGAAGATGATGATTCCCTGATGAGAAGAAGATCGAGAATTGCGAGTTTTCCGTCTTTTCTATCTCGTGAGTGAATTTTATATCCTTGTGAATTCTTTTGATCTCTGTGACTAGCCATTTCGCTAGTTTGTGGGTAGATAAACCAACTGCAGACACGACCTCTTGCCTTTCATTCGCCGGTTTGTGAACTTTGGGGAGACCGTTGATCTTGGGTAGAATGGGATTGGATTCGCGTTAACGACCTGCTCCATCTCCTAATATTGATTTACACTCCTTCAGTATTTTCTCTACGTGTTTAAACATGCTCTGTAAGGGGTCTACTCGAAGCTGCCTATACGGTTCATTGTTAATCTTCGTTGTCATCTGATTGTCGGAATCGTCCTTGTCCATGATAGCGACCGCGTTGCCCTTGTCTGCTTTCACATAATATACTGCTTTATCTGCGTTGCTGCGATTTTGTAGGTTTTCTATACATGTATGTCAGTATAACATTTCTCATCTTAAAAATAAAAAAAAACTAAAGCTAAATCTTACCTAAATATAAAGGAAGTTAAGGAAGTGAGGATTACAACGATTTTTCCCTGAAATTCTTAACAATTGTGTTAGTCATTTGGTTCTAAAGCAATAACATTTGATGTACCTCGGTAGTACTGTACCAGGAGAGCAACTTCAAAATCATCTTCAGAACTTTGTTCTGAATCCTTTGAAGTGCTTTCTTTTTCTGGTAGTGCAACAATTAGACCATATTGGCACAGCATAAAGCATGGCCGGTAGAAAACATGTTTATATATTAGAAGTTTATTCTTGAGCCAAAGTTTTTTTTACGTAGGACTACGTCTGTGATTTCCATATGGAGGTATGCTTTGTGAAACCCGAAAATGGAACATGTAACAAAATTATGAAAGATTTTGAACGTTGACAACTCAGCAGCCCCTGGACCAATTTCAATAACTGTATCACCAATCGATCAGAAATATTTCTACGCATCTGCTAAATTTAAGAATAATTTTTCAAAATGTCACTACCGAAAATTGCACAACTGTTGCTATGATAGTTAAAATTATCATTGCAGCAGCATCAGTGCTTTGGGCGCGTGGCGTTGAACATTGTTCTCCAGTACACAACAAAAGACTGCCGGCAAGCAGTGAGCTGCAGCCCACATGAGCATCTATAGAAGGAGGAAGAAGCCGTGAGTCGCTGTGGGGCATCTATGTCAAACGCGTCATGCAAAAGAGAATCCCGCTCAAATTCCTATTCCTTCACAAAACACAAGCCCCTGCTGCAGTTAACAAATTATTATATAAGACCACGTAGTCCTACGTCACCATTGCGTTCAACTCCATAGGGCTGTCCCTTGAAGTTTTTTTTTTGTCGATAAGAGGATACCTATATTTTATATATGTGTTGCAACTTTTAAAGATCACATTAAAGTTATTTAAGCCAATAACTTTAATGTGATCTTTAAAAGTTAATTTTTGGCCAAGTACTAGTCCAAATTATTTCACTTGACTTGATCAATAAATAGAAACTACATTCATAGTAACTATATGGCTACTACTAGGTTTCAAAAGGAAGCTCTAGGCTTATGTGGGAATATTATAAGTTGATATTAGGAAGCGTTGGGAGAAATCTTTCATTTCCTTAAATAGGAAGAGCAAATATCTAAACGTTTGTGCAGTCTGCAGTAAATAGCATGAAGACTTCTTCCTTTACCGGAAATGCTTGTGTCATCAGCGAACAAAGATTTGTGGCAGCTCTGAGGCAAATCAACGAGATCCGAAGTGAAATATCATACAATATAGGCCCAACAATGCTACTCTAAGAACTTCAACTCTAACAGGTAGTCGATTAGATTTGGCGGACGCTTTTTCTATGTCTAGAAGAGCAACTCCAGTTGAGCAGCCTTCAGATTTGTTTGACCTAATTAAATTGGTAACTCTTAACAGTTGATGCCGATGTGGAAATCCAAACTGCTCATCTGCTAAAATTAAGTTCGTTTTGATGTGAAGCATCATTCTATTCAAACTTTTTGGACGATAGTTAGAAGTTTCAGCTGGATTTTTATCCGGCTTCAAAAATGGAACAACTTTTGCATTTTTCTATTTATTAGGAAAGTATGCCAAGAAAGACAAGGTACTCTTTGGGAATTATTTGATGAGGAAATAAAAAATTCCATCATCACCTGGCGCTTTAATTTGTTTTTCCTTGTTTTGTTGTTCATAAAAAGCCCGGATAATTTAAAAATAATATTGGTAGATAAGAGACGAATAAATAATATTGACGGCTAAATTTGTGATGGTTCTATTGTTCTGAAGCTTACTGATTTGTTTCAAGTTCTCAACATCAGTTAGGTTAGCTTTGACATAAAGTTATGTTCACTGTCATAATACCAAATCTGCAAAATGCATGTCGATGCTGTGACACAGCTAACCTGTCCCGTTGCTGTGAAGCGAGCTTGATCGTAGCATCGCCACGAATTTGGTAGATTTCAATTGCAATATTGCATTTAAATTAAATACTGCATTTCCAGATTTCAATTCCAATATAAAAGTACAAAGTTTGAACATCTTAATCATTCTGTACTGGTTGATTACCAATTTTATACTTTTATATTGGAATTGAAATCTGGAAATGCAGATGTATTTCAAAATATGTAGCTATTAAAATGGAAAACTGGATAAAACTGGATGAATTCTAAAGAAAACTGGAAGTTTTAAAACTTTATCTGTTTGCAGACTGGATGCGTCCAAAAAAACTAGAAGAATCCAGTACATCTTCTTCCAGTAGTGTTTTAAAAAATCGCGCCATTACAATGAATTCTGCAATTTTTGTGATAGCACATTGCGATTTTGGCGACATAATTTAATGATTCCATGATTTTCGTGACTGAATATTCAAATCCGCTACAAACCCGCGAAAATCGCGAAATCCGCTCCTGTTGTAACAGCCCTGAAAATATTCAAACCTTGACCATTTTGCGGCACTTCTAAGTCCGATTGAGCCCAAACATTGCATGGGTCTTTTTTCGAGGCAATGAACATTTTGTATATGGTCCGTTTACAAAAAAAATACCTTGGGAACCCTAATCTATACATAATGAGCCTAATATTCAATAAAAGTTACGATTTCGTCAATTACTATGACTCACATGATTCTCCTTTTCATCCAAAATGGAGGTGCCTCCCCTTTCATGCCCCTAACAAACACTGATTTATGCTCCCTTATCACGCAATTCCCCAGCTGAAAATGTACTCCTAGCCACATGAAATAAGCAACAATATGTCGTGAGTCACCGCAGCAGCCTTTCAATACTCATTTCTCTCTGTTACACTTCCTTACACACTCCTTGCACATTTCAAACACAACGGCGGCCGAAAATGGGCCAAGGCGCTACCGATGACGCCACATTGTCCAATTGGAGAAAAACTCACCCTTCGCATGTCGATGCTCGCAGCAGCAGTGATCGTTGATGAAAGCCGCCGACTGACAGAAGTGAATCTTTTCGATTCCACACTCATCACACCAGGCCGGCACTTTGTTTACCTCGTCCAAATCCAACGCCTGCAGAGCGATTCGGGAGTCCTTTTCGGTAACTTCATGCTCCTTGAAGAACTCCGTCACGGGGGAGGTTGTTTTCAATTTGTTGGCTGCAAGTTTCGAATCCTCCTCGCAATCCATGTGGACCTCGTTGGTTGCTATTCCTGGGCAACCGAAGACCGGAAAAATAATTGCAACTAATGCCACTACTGACCAGATCGTCACCACTTCCGCACCCATCCCTTTTAAATCGAATAATCACTGCAACCACCGACCAACGTAGGAACACACATCAGACTGATTGCGTGCACTGCGAGAGACAAAATCTGCCCAAGACGTAGATCGAAGGCAATTCTTTGCGCTTCGTCTCTCTTCCGTTCACTTTTTCGCGACTTTCGATTTGAGACGTTAAATGCACTTTACCTACTGATTAACCAATTTCAATTAGCACCCAATAATACTGGGTGGGAACACAATATTTCTTTGATACAGGAAAACAAAAATGGTGTGTCGAAGGCACGTTTTTAAGAATCAAACCCTTGCGTTATGAATCACTTTCTTCGTAGTATCCTTATAGCTAACAGGGACACACGTATCCTATTTGTTTACATCGTATCGCGAAGAATCGAAGGTTGGCAGGGGAACATGCGCGTGCTGTAACAAACTCGAGAAGGAAACGTGTTTCGAAAAATAAGGGTGCGAGGGAAAACGCCACTTGGAAAGAAAATGTACAACAGAACTAGGGAAAACTTCACGTAGCCGGACCCGTTCTCTTCGATGCTCGATAGCGACTAACCGAAAGGAAGCGACAATGTGGATGTTTTGAATTTGAATTGCTTGCTACAGTGGATGGAATGGAATGATTCTATGTGCTATGTGTGCTTCGCTCGTACCACGCGCTTCGTCGGTATTGCTCGGCATCGTTGTTTTGCGCATGTGCTAGTGTAGATCTTGGAACGTCTTGTTTAGTGAACAGCGATAGATAGTTGCTTGATGCTAAAAATGTGCAGTAAGGATTTCCCGAACCACAGTAAAACATCGATTTCGATACTGGGTGATTCGTAATTATTGGGATACGTAATGGTTTTGACAATATTAAAAAGAATAAACGCTCTTTAAAACTTGGAAAATGCTCTTTTACTATAGGTTTACAGTCCTGCTTTAGTCAGAAGATTAGAGCGACGGGCTTCTAAAAGAAAATTCGAATGAAAAAGATTCTAAAGCTAAAGCTTTTACAGAAGATTCAAAAAGAAGATTCTAAACAAAGATATTAAAAGTATTAATAGTAATCTAATAGAAGATTTAAGAAGAAGATTCTGACAGAAAATTCTAAAAGAAGACTCTTAAAAAAGATTATAAAAGAAAATTTTAAAAGAAGAAGATAAAACAAAACATGCTGAAAAAAGATTCTGACAGAAGATTCAAAAAGAAGCTCTAAAAAAAAAGCTTACAGAAGAAGCTTCTTAGGAATATTCTACAAGCAGATTCTAATGGAAGATTTTAAAAGAAAATTCAAAAAGAAGATTCTGACTGATAATTCTAAAGGAACATTCTACAAGAAGATTCTAAAAGAAGATTCTACAAGAAGATTCTAAAAGAAGATTCTGAAATAAGATTCTTAAAGCAGATTCCAAACGAAGATTCTGACTGAACATTATAAAAGAAGATTCGAAAGAAGATTCTAAAAGAAGTTTCTAAAAAAAGATTCTGAAAAAAGATTCTGACTGAAGATTTTAAACAAAGATTCGATGAAGATGAAGATTCTAAAAAAAGATTTTAAAAGAAGATAGTAAAAGAAGATTCTAAATGAAGATTCTAAACGAAGATTCTAAAAATATATTCTAAAAGAAGATTCAAAAAGAAGATTCTAAAAGAAGATTCTAGTATAAGATTCAAAAAGAAGATTATGACAGAAGATACTAAAAGAAGATTCTAATAGAATATTCAAAAAGAAGATTCTGACAGAATATACTATAACAAAAATTTCAACGAAGATTTTAATTGAAGATTTTTAAAGAAAATTCTTGAAGAAATTTTTTAAAGAAAATTCTAAAAGAAGCTTAAAAATAAGCTTCCTGAAGAAGCTTCCTATGACTATTCTACAAGTAGATTCTAAAAGAAGATAAAAAATGAAGATAAGAAAAGAAGATTAAAAAAGAAGATAATATAAAAAAAATCTAGAAAAAGATTCTAAAAGAAGATTCAAAAAAAGATTCTGACGGAAGATTCTAAAAGAAGATTCTAAAATAAGATTAAAAAATAAGATTCTGAAAGAAGATTCTAAAAGAAGATTCTTTAAAAAGATTCTAACGGAATGTTTTAAATGAAGATTCTAAAAGAAGATTAAAAATGAAGATTCTAAAAGAAGATTATAAAAGAAGATTCTAAAAGAAGATTCCAAGAAAAGATTCTTTAAAAAGATTGTAAAGAAGATTCTGAAGAAGATTGAAAGTTAATATTAATTTAATTGAATTAAAGAAGATCCTTAATAGGATAAAAAATGAAGATTATTAAAGAATATTAAAAATGCAAGTTCTGACTGAAGCAGATTTTGACTGAAGATCCTAAAAAACGATTCTAAAAGAAGCTTCTAAAAGTAGGTCCTTAAAGAAAATTTTAAAAGAAAATTATAAAATAAGATTTTAAAATAAGATTTAAAAAAAGCTGACTGAAGATTCAAAAAGAAAATGCTAAAAGAAGTTCCAAAAATAAGCTTACAGAAGAAGCTTTTTAAGAATATTCTACAAGTCGAATCTAAGAGAAGATATTAAAAGAAGATTAAAAAAAAAGCTTCGAAAAGTATATACTGACGGAAGCTTCTAAAAGAAGATTCAAAAAGAAGATTATTCAAAGAGATAAGATTCCAAAAGAATATTTTAAAAGAAGATTATAAAATCAGATTAAAAAATAAGATTCTGAAAGAAGATTTTTAAAAGAAGATTCTTAAAGAAGATCCTAAAAGAAGAATAAAAATGAAGATTCTAAAAAGAAAAAGATTCTGACTGAAGATTTTAAACGAAGATTCTAAAAGAAGAGTAAAAATGAAAATTCTGAAATAAGATTCTAAAAAAAGATGATAAAAGAAGATTCTAAAATAAGATTAAAAATGAAGATTCTTAAATAAGATTCTAAAAGAAGATTCTGACTGAAGATTCTGACTGAAGATTCTGAAAGAAGATTCTGAAAGAAGATTCTGAAAGAAGATTCTGAAAGAAGATTCTGAAAGAAGATTCTGAAAGAAGATTCTGAAAGAAGATTCTGAAAGAAGATTCTGAAAGAAGATTCTGAAAGAAGATTCTGAAAGAAGATTCTGAAAGAAGATTCTGAAAGAAGATTCTGAAAGAAGATTCTGAAAGAAGATTCTGAAAGAAAATTCTGACTGAAGATTCTGAAAGAAGATTCTTATAGAAGATTTAAAAGGAAAATTTTAAAAGAAAATTATAAAGAAGATTTTAAAAGAAGATTAAAACAATACTGACAGAAGATTCTTAAAGAAGACTCTGACCGAAGATTAAAAAAAAATCTAAAAGAAGCTCTACAGTAGAAGCTTCTTAAGAATATTCTGCAAGTCGATTCTAAACGAATATTTAAAAAAAAAATCTAAAATAAGATTCGAAAATAAGCTTAAAAATTAGCATCCTGAAGGAGATTCTTTTAAATATTCTACAAGTAGATTAAAAAAAGAGATTCTAAAAGAAGGCTCCAAAAGAAAATTCTTAACGAAGATTATAAAATCAGATAATAAAAGAGATTCTAAAAGAAGATTCTAAAAGAAGATTTTAAAAGAAGATTCTAAAAGAAGATTCTAAAAGAAGATTCTAAAAAAAGATTCTAAAAGAAGATTCTGAAAGAAGATGTAACGAGGTTACAAAAGTATCCCACCTATCCTTTATATAATCTGGCATCACTTATTTTAAAAAACCGTTCTTGGTCACTGAGTTCAGTTGCGGTTGGTAACTCACGGCAGATCTGTCAAACAGATTAAAAATGGGAGTTTGTTTAGCCCACCGGAAAAATACGTCCGAGTCCGAGCCGAACCAACGAATGCCCGGGTATTGTAGCTCCCTAGAGGGTAGAGCCATGATTGTTCCAGATGTGTTCTTGAAAAGCTTTCCAACCACGAGACAGTGAACAAGGTGAACATAGGACATAGTAGATCAATAGTAAGGTGGCAAGTAGGGAAGGTATAAGTTAACGAATAAAATTAACGGTCAGACAGTGAGACATACCAGGCAGTTAAAGTGACGTAAAAAGCATACACGGAGGTTTGTAACATTTAATGTGAAGTTAGACAAGGACAGTAACAGTGATATTAATTACAGAGCGATATATATACATATAACTTCAGGAATACTAGCACCTTCGTTGTTTAGTGTACCACCATACTCCAGGTAATAACAGTCAGTAAAAAACACATAATATGTAACACTAACACGCTAAAATTCGCTTGAAGGAAAATTCTTCAAACGAAGGTCCTACCCTTAGGCCGTAAAACCCTACCGTCTACCCTCGGTGGAAAGTTGTGTGTTGCACGTGTCGACTTCCGACGTGCAACCCCGCTCGACAGCGCTCTGTCGGCATAGCTGGTCGAATCCCGTCGTGCACGAGCCTAAAACCCTGCCACCTCGTTGTCACCGCGCCAAGTCGGCATATTTAGAAAAAAAGCTCCCCGCTGCGAGCCATCCATCGACTAACATCAGTCTCGCCATCTTGTGCTATCCCACAAATAAAAGCAAGTTGAAAAGGTATTTGCTACACCTACCTGTCACCATCATCGCAGACACCAACCAACATGCAACAACGCGCGCAACGAACATCACCCAGCAACATTGAACAGTGCCATATCCAGTAAGTGAAGCCCACTAACCCTAGCTAGGAAGCAATAAATAAATGTTGAAACGAATTCGTTAATTTAAACTGCATGTCCTTAGTAAACCGCGGAATCTGTGTAGTGCGAGGCTGGATTTGAGACACATTTGGAACAAATAGTTTTTTTTTTCCGTTAGTAGATCCCTGTAGGTAATGTGGGGAAAACCATCATAGGAAACCCCGCTTACCGATGATTTTGTCTTCTCCCTGTAGGTAATTTATTCGTTTGTTGGGTTCAGTGCAATTCTTGCCGCCATTTGTAGGATTTTTGATAAACCTGCCCTGAGGTCTCTAGCCGGAACGGGATTCGGTTTCTGAGAACTTGCCCCTTCACGGTAACCTAGTGTTACCTGGCGCTTAAGTGAAGGCCGTGATTTTCCTCTTTCGCTAAAACACTCCCGACCCGTTACAAAGATTCTAAAATAAGTTTCTAAAAGAAGATTCTTAAAGAAGATTTTAAAAGAAGATTCTTAAAGAAGATTCTTAAAGAAGATTCTTAAAGAAGATTCTAAAAGAAGATTCTAAAAGAATATTCTAAAAAAAGATTCTGACTGAAGATTTTAAACAAAGATTCGATTTTAAAAGAAGATAGTAAAAGAAGATTCTAAATGAAGATTCTAAACGAAGATTCTAAAAGAATATTCTAAAAGAAGATTCAAAAAGAAGATTCTAAAAGAAGATTGTAAAAGAAGGTTCAAAATGAAGATTAAAAATGAAGATTCTTAGAGAAGATTCTAAAAGAAGATTTTAAAAGAAGATTCTAAAAGAAGATTCTAAAAGAAGAATCTAAAAAACGATTCTAAAAGAAGATTTTAAAAGGTGATTCTTAAAGAAGATTCTAAAAGATGATTATAAAAGAAGATTTCAAAAGAAGATTCTTAAAGAAGATTCTTAACGAAGATTCTTGAAGAAGATTCTTAAA